ATTTTTGTACAAAATTTATGTAAAATCGTACAGTACAAAATAGCTTTTCGTACCGTACAGTTTATCGTCATACTGTTAAATCTATAGGGGACAACTAAAATGTTACACAGTATAGTTTTAATATAGCGAGAACTGAATTCATATATACTTTAATTTACTAAGTAATACTATGTAAAGAAATAAATTGCCAAACTTTAACAATGAAATTGAAAGATATACTTAAATAAATCGCACGATAAAAAACTTGTGCATAAATAATATAATTTCAAAGAATTCATGCATATAATTTTTAAACTTGTTTTGTTTTTTTGTCACGAAAAAAATTGGATCGTAACTTTATATAATAAAATATAGAAGACAACATTTTTTTATTAAAAATGGTAAATGAAAATGGCATTTTTTAAAAATTTTTTAATAATTTTCTTATAAATTTATTTAAATATTTATAGGAACATGATATTACCTTACTATCACCAAAATGACAAAAAAAGAAGCTTTACAAGAACTTCTATATTTAAGACTCGATCTTAAAAAAAAAAAGTTTATTTTTTTTCAACTTTAGATAAATATTTTGAAGGCATAATTTTTTATAATATAAAAGAAAGAAAGCTCAAATTTATTATAACAAAAAGGATCAAATGTTCGAAACATTTTCTCCAATGGATAAATTCATTAAAACGTCAAGGATTATTTAAAGAAAATTGATCTCTATTGCAACCATCTTTTTAGAACCTAATCCTACTGGTTTATCAATTACAACTATATTGCATAATTCTGATTATAAACCATATTGGAAAAAAAAATTTAATAAATAATTCAGATATTCTTGAATTTATACAGAAAAAAGTATTACCAGGTGAAGAATTTGCAGGAATGGCAATACATGTAATAAATGAAGAATTAGAATTTAAAAAAAATAAAAATAGTTATCAAAAGTGGACTGCATAGTTATGAATTTTGTGCAATTAATAAAGTAGTGCAAGAAACTTTTCTTCCGTTTCCAGTTAAAGCCATAGAAAGAATGCTTGATGATATAATTGACATTATTTGTTATACATTTTCTGTAAATATATGTTGTGGCCAAAGCACAAAAGGTAATTTAATTTTAATTAACTATTATTTAAAATATTTTATAATTTTAATTAATCTTTCCATAATTTTTTAAAGAATTTAAAGATGTGGTACATATCCGTGGAAATGAACGTAATGAATTTGGCAATGTTCTGTATTGTGGTGACACGGAAACGTACGTGACCACTGAAGGTGGCAAACAGAGGTGGTAGTTGTACCAAGGCAGATTATGTGCCACCACCAAGGTGAAAAACAAGGTGATTATTTATTCACCTTTGCACAACATCTTCAAGTAACAAAATATGGGTAGCAACCAGGGTAAAGGTAAACAAAAGAAAAGGTATAAAGAAATCATAGTTAGGCAGTAGAAAACAGGAGATTCCTTTTGGCGAAAAACTCACTTTAATTAGTTTTCTTTTATTAATTTTAATTTCGGACAATTTTCTTCTCTTATTAATATTGGT